GCTCCTGGCCCTGCAAGCTCGTCAGACAGCTGCCGCTCGGTCAATTACTGAAATTCAGTCACATACAGGAGAGACCCTGATAGATCATGATGACATAAATGAAGCTTTTCTGCATTTCTATTCTAACCTTTATGCCTCAGAATGTAATGAGGACTCTGAGGTCTTCTTTCAAAATGTTACTCTCTGTGTCAGAGGAACAAAACATTAAATTGAGCGCAGATGTTTCAACTTCCGAAGTTTTCCCCTCAACTAGCACCAATTATTCAGACAATGTTTAAAGAAGCACTCTCTTCAGGCTCCCTTCCTATGACTTTACGACAAGCCTCTATCTCCCTATTCCCCTACTGAATGTAGACTTTAAAGTGCTGTCTAAGGTCCTGGCCAGACGTCTGGAAAATGATTCCAGATATTATATCTCCTGATCAGACAGGATTAATCCAGAACCGACATTCGTATTCAAATTTGAGAAAACTATTTAATATGGTCCACTCTGCCCGGTCTCCAGACCCAGAGGTAGTAATATCACTCGATGCGGAAAAGGCCTTTGACCGAGTTGAATGGAGATACCTATTCCTTGCCCTCCAAAAATGTGGCTTTAAAAAATAATTAATTGCGTGGATTAGACTTCTCTACTCCTCTCCCCTGGCTGCTATAATCTCTAATAACACTTACTTCCGCCTTGGAAGAGGAACAAGACAGGGATGCCCGCTTTCCCCACTCCTTTTTGCGCTAGCAATTGAGCCTTTGGCAACAACACTTCGTTTATGTAAGGATTTCAAAGGCATTGATCGGGAAGGACAAAAGTTTAAGGTGTCCCTTTACGCGGGTGACCTGCTTTTATATGTATCCGAGCCTGCCTCATTGCTTCCCTATATCCTGGATATCCTCGATCAATTTGGGAAAGTCTCAGGTTATAAATTACATTTACAAAAGAGCTTTAAACTCTGCAGCCGATTTACTCCCCCATAGCCTTTTGCTCTTTAACAAGAGCTCAAGATGGCTTCAAATATTTAGGAATTGAGGACACTCGCTCTCTTCTTAGTACTTTCACTAAAAACTTTACCACTCTTCTGAATAAGTGTAAAGAATATATGAACCGCTGGGCCTCCTTACCATTATCTCTACCATAAATAAAACGTTACCTCTCATTTATCATATATGAAGAATTAATTTTCACAAATTGATTAAATCCAATCTTAAAATGATTAAACAAACGCCTGTTTGAGACTCCTCAGTGCACACAAAAACATAACTTGGAGAAATAAATAAATACGGAAATGTTATTGATCACCCCTCGATTATGTTCTCTTGTTAATAAATGTATTCTCATAAATGATTCGGTAAACAGAAGGACAGAATTACTTTAAACTGACGCCGTTTTGCATTTCTATAGGTTGTAGATACGAGTATGGTTTTATATACTATCATGTTTAATGCCGTTCGCCAAGACTTGATAAGTCGCTCGTAAAACACAGGAGGTATGGAAACTAAGAACACCATATGTGGTAAATTGTACAGCTAATATAACACAACACATTAGTTGTATTTCCTTTAACAGGTGGATATAGAGTTGCTGATCGACAGCTGGAACACAAACCACCAAATACAAAAAAATAATTCAGATCCAGTCGTCATGACTCCACTCCGGAGGTATTCCCGATCATTTCTTACAGTTTCTCATCAAGGGGGTGTCTCCTGTCCCCGGCACAAACACACTGACACACTGCCTGAGGAAGGTTAGGCTCTGTGTATTTTTTTTGTCATTAACCTTTTTCGGACCACTTATTTATTTATTTTGGTGACGATCCGACCTCCATGCTGCTACTCTGGTTCAAACTGCATCCACCAATAAATGTGATTTATCTCGACCTCCCCAAAATAACCAAAATCTGACACGGTGTGAGATGTCTTTTTTTAGCTGTTCTGTCGTCTTTTCCTGCGATCTTCTTCCTGCAGTCAGTCAAAATTAATATTAATACGGGGCGTTTCTTTGACTATTTATAGGTAAATATGGGCATTACGTGAAGCCCGCAAAAGCTGCGCCACATTTCGAGTTGATTGTGATTTTTAAAGGGAAACCGGTACGCAGTGTTTTATAAATCCGAAAATGTCTGTGCGTATTTATTTGCTTTGTCCTACGTAAGCAACCTTCCCACGTGAATCCTACGCAAGGCTTTATAAATGAGGCCCCTGAACATCAGCAAGAGAGAACTCTTTAAAGTAGAGACACTACATACCAGTGTTTCCCCTATATACAAATAGTGGCGGCGCAGCGCCGCTGCTGAAATATGCGCGCCGCTGCCAGGGGACGCCAGACAGGTACCCAAAAATAATGATAATAAGTGGCGACCCTTTTTCATTTTTGATTGTTTGTTATGTGGATTTGTAGTATTTGTGTTACTGTATGTTCAATAAAGGTGTATTTTTGCTAAATCTTGAGACATTGACACTGTATGTACTAGGCAGGGCCGATTTGTGGCATAGTTGGCGGTCGCCTAGGGCGCCAGATGTAAATGTAACACCCTTTTCACCCCGGTTACACTTTTCATTTGCCCTGTACGATGGGCGCTGTAAGTGATGAAAGTGGGGGATGTTGGTTTATCTGGCGCCCGCAGCTCACAGCCAAAGTGCGAGCGTGGGAGCGAGCGAGAGAGAGGGCGCACCGGTACCGGCGCTGTCGTTATTAGAATCTGGTGGAGACTCCAGGGTGGAGGAGAGCTCTCCTGTCAGACTGAGAGGCTCAGTGGGGTAAAGGACTCTGAGTGTTATGATAGTTAATTTTAGTTTTTAAGTTATCTCAGTGGGTCTCAAACGTTTTGACCACAAATTATGTAAACACATATTTCCAAGGCACTCCTTTATAATTATTAGGATAAATAAAAACAAGTTTGAAATCATTCCAATGTATACTATAGGACAGTAAACAAAAAATATCGTTTAAAGTTGGAGAGATACAAAAATATGCATAAATAAATAAATGTGAACTGGTAAAATAAGATATGAATGAACAACAAAAATAAAATAAGTTACATTTATTTGTTATTGGCTATGGTAGGTTATTGGTTATGTTCATATACTTATTTGATTATTAAAATGTAAACCGATCTTTTTCATATGGGTGTTTTAGAGTTGTACCCCCTAGATCTGGGGCCTCATTTATAAAGGGATATACGCTCAAAAAATGGCGTACGCCAGTTTCTACGCAATGTTTGCGATTTATAAAATACTAACTTGACGGGAAAATGTGCTGTCCTCCACGCAAACTCTAACCCATGCGTACGCACTAAGCACAACAACGGGAGAGACGAGAAACTGCGACACCGTTGGCAGAAGTAAGAATGGAGAGAAATATGTGGAAATAATACCATAAATAAAATGTTACCTCTCATTTATCAAATATGAAGAATTCATTTTCAAACATTGATTAAAGCCAATCTTTAAATGATTAAACAAACGCCTGTTTGAAACTCCTCAGTGCACACAAAAACATAACTTGGAGAAATAAATAAATACGGATATGCTATTTAAAACCACCTCGAATATGTTGTGTTAATGTTATGAAATGTTTTCTCATAAATGATGCGGTAAGCAGGAGGACAGAATTATGTCTAAACTGACGCCGTTTTGCATTTCTATAGGTTGTAGATACGAGCATGGTTTTATATACTCTCACGTTTAATCGTGTTTTATGCCGTTTGCCAAGACTTGATAAGTAGCTCGCAAAACACAGGAGGTATGGAAACTAAGAACACCATATGTGGTAAATTGTACAGCTAATATAACACAATCCATTAGTTGTATTTCCTTTAACTGGTGGATTATGGATATATAGTTGCTGATCGACAGCTGGAACACAAACCACCAAATACAACAAAAATAATTCAGATCCAGTCGTCATGACTCCACTCCGGAGGGATTCCCCGATCATTTCTTACAGTTTCTCATCAAGGGGGTGTCTCCTGTCCCCGGGACAAACACACTGCCTAAGGAAGGTTATGTGTATTTTTTTTGTCATTAACTTTTTTCGGACCACTTATTTATTTATTTTGGTGACGATCCGACCTCCATGCTGCTACTCTGGTTCAAACTGCATCCACCAAACAATATGATTTATCTCGACCTCCCCACAATAACCTAAATCTGACACGGTGTGAGATGTCTTTTTTAGCTGTTCTATCGTCATTTCCTGCGATCTTCTTCATGCAGTCAGTCAAAATGAATGAATGAATGGGCGTTTCTTTGACTATGTATAGGCAAATATGGGCGTTACGAGTCGATTGTGATTTATAAAGGGAAACAGGCGTAGGGAGTGCCGTACGCACTTCCCTCGCCGGTACGCAATGTTTTGTGAATCGGAAAATGGCGGAAAATTTATGTACCTATTTTTGTGCTTTGTACTACGTAAGCAACCTTCCTACGTCAATCCTACGCAAGGCGTTATGAATGAGGCCCCAGGTCTCTAGTAATTGTGTGCTCAAAGTGCACCAGATTGAAGCATTTTACTTTAACATTTTCAAAAAAATCTTCCCGGGGGGGGCATACCTCCGGACCCCCTTAGAAGATGTGACGTCCACCCCCCAATTCAAACATGTTCATACAATACTGAATACATTTGAAGCCATTTTGACGTCCTATGTCAATAAGTTTCTGTTTTTGTAGTGTATTTGTCTTTTGTAGAGATTTTTTATTTATTCTTTATATATAAAATCTCGCCTAGGGCAGCAAATTGGCTAGACCCGGCCCTGGTACTAGGCCTCAAGAGCCTTTCTTGTGCTGGCAGACACATAGAAACAAATTGGCGGGGCGCACTTCGCACGTGCACACACTAAAAAATTCCACGCGCTCCGCGCTCACATTATGCTGGGCCCGCATGCCTTAGCACCGCTGCTATGACTCCATCCTAGGGGAAACACTGCATACTGATATACACCTGAACATCAGCAGGAGAGAACTCTTTAAAGTAGAGACACTACATACATTGTGATGAAGTGAACACTGACCAGAGTTCTGGGGGTGTCTTTGTTCTCCTCCATGTTGCTCTCAGTGCTCCTTCTCCTGCTGTGTCTCTGAAATAAGTATTAACACTACAGTCAACACAAAACCAATCTACAGTTAAGAAGTAGCTCAACAGCAGAGGTGGGAAGTACATTTACTCAAGTACAACTATAGAGGTACTTGTACTTTACTTGAGTACATTGTATGCTAATTTTACTCCACTACAGTTCAGAGGTAAATTGTGTACTTTTACTCCACTACATGTATTTAATACCTGTAGTTACTTTACAGATCTGGATGAATGATGTGAAATATAATCAACCCTTAAATCAGACTTTAGTTCCACCTGGAGTAAAGTCACAAGCTGCTACCCTGCAGTATTGTCATTCAAACTAGCTGCACCTTTACCAGCTTTGAGAACACTTTAATGATCAATAATTATAAAACATATCATATATATTATTCTGAAATGGACCAATCTGCACAATCACTACTTTTACTTTTGCTACGTTAACTATATGTTAATGATAATTGTGTTTATTATTACTTTTGGTACTTTGACTATATTTTGATGCTACTTTTACTCAAGTACAAGATCTGAGTAGTAGTAGTCACTCAGTATTATTATCAGTAGCAAAAGTACTCGGTATTATAGTAAAAGTAATCAGTATTATCAGTACTAAAAGTACTCAGTATTATCAGTAGTAAAAGTACACAGTGTATTATAGTAAAAGTACTCAGTATTACCCGGTGTTTCTGCTCCTCGTTGTTCTACGGTTTGTTGATGTACACCGACTAGCATTAGCCACCTAGCATGAAGCAGCTAACAGCAAATAAGGACCCGGGTGAAGAGGTGGAATTGTTCTAAAGCTCCTCTCGTCTCTTCTTCTCCCGAGAGAAACGGGTTATATTCTAATATATGATAGATATATATTAATGAAAGCTGATAGAGAGTCCGACTGCAGGATGTTTTACCAGAACTGGAGACTGCCTGAGATCATGGTAGAGAGCAGAAGTACCCGGATGTGGGCCCACAGAGCATGCGCAGTAGAGTTTTCTCTTAAGCCCCGCCTCCCATCTCCCGCTCTGTGGATGCATTGGCTGCGTCTCAGGTCGATTAAATGGAATCCTTGCGTCCCTCACTTGCGTCGTTTCCCTGCGTTTAGTCCCTCCCACCAGGGAAGCATGGAGAGACGCAAGGTAACCACGAGAAGCAGGGAAATGAGTTGGGAGTGTCACTACCCGATCCGTCCACCTGCCCGATCGGTACTGCGCATGTGCGAGATGGTCCGCCATATTGCACAACTCCGTACGGCAACCCAACTAGGACACTTGACACAGTGGCTTTTGGCAAAGCACAAAAAAACTAAAAAAACCGAGAGAGATGAGTTATTGTTATTACAACGTGACTTCACTATTATTTAACAACTATTTTTATTGGGTTCTTTTATTTGGGGTTAAGTAGATTGTCAGAATAAGTGAGAAATGGATTTAACTTCTGTTAGACAGCTATCATACTGAATAAATATTTATGCAAAAATGTATGGCATTAATAATGTATATCTAATTACATTTAAAAATGTATGGCATTAATAATGTATATCTAATTACATTAACTGTGAATGTCTTTCATTTTATTTAAAATGAAATAAAATTACAAAAAGTTGATTCAATAACAAATCTCTGTTATTAGATCAGTACTTTTCTTATATGACTATTATTGCTAAATTTGAAAGGTCTTTACCAGCTTTGGAATTATATATATATATATATATATATATATATATATATATATATATATATATATATATATATAGCACCTTCTGCCATCCCATCTCTACTGACAATCATTAACACTTAGATTTTATGATATCGTAAGCATCGTCAGTGATTGACTTGAACACTGAGAATGTATTTATTAACTTCAGACATTTTCATATACAAATGTGATCATACACCAACACACTTTTTAGATATATACATTTTTCACACACAACGCACAACCATTTACTAAATTAAACCATATCCCATCATAATACGAGCAAATAAAAAGGCACAACAATAAATATATTATGTGTGTGTGTGTGTGTGTCCTAGTTGGGTTGCCATACGGAGTTGTGCAATATGGCGGACCATCTCGCACATGCGCAGTACCGATCGGGCAGGTGGACGGATCGGGTAGTGACAGGGAGCAATGGGACTGTCACTACCCGATCTGTCCCCTTGCCCGATCTGTACTGCGCATGTGCGAGATGGTCCGCCATATTGGACAACTACATACGGCAACTCTAATAGGACACTTGACACAGTGGCTTTTGGCAAAGCAGAAAAAGAACCGAGAGAGATTAGTTATTGTTATTACAACGTGACTTCACTATTATTTAACAACTCTTTTTATTGGGTTGTTTTATTTGGGGTTAAATACATTGTCAGAATAAGTGAGACATGGATTTAACTTCTGTTAGACAGCTATCATACTGAATAAATATTTACTGTGAATGTATGCAAAAATGTATGGCATATAGCTGTCTAACAGAAGTTAAATAAAGCATAGCTCCCCCGGTGCGACGCCATTTTGGGGACAACGTGGTCTGACAGTAAAACTGGGACAGCGTCTGAGGCCCCACCTACCACGCTGTATCCAGTTCTTATTATACATCCATGGTTTGACCATGGATGTATAATAAGAACTGGCAACGATGAAAGATTGTAGCCAAGGCAGCAGGGCTCTGAATATAGCTCTTGTCACTCTCTCACTCTCTCTCTCACACTCACTCACTCACTCACTCACACACACACACACACACACACACACACACACACACACACACACACACACACACACACACACACACACACACACACACCACACACACACACACACACACACACACACACACACACACACACACACACACACACTAGGGCTGAAATCATAATCACGATTATTTTTGTCAATAATTGATATCACGATTATAAAATACGATTATTCATTGACTTTGAAAACATCCATTTATTGAACTTTAAAACAAATAATAATTTGAACAGTATCTTTTTAACTGTTGATTACCCTGAACGTATAATTAAACTGAAAAACCAATACAAAAATAAATGATACATTTAAATAAATAATATCAAAATAATAAATAGCCTACCAATAAACAAGATCAACAAATATTTTGGAGCGCACTTCCACAAGCTACTAAACATATATAAATATGATAAATAAAAATAAATTAGATTATGTTGTTTTCGTAATTGTGGCAGGCCAAAATCGTAATTGCGATTAAAATACGATTAATTGCACAGCCCTAACACACACACACACACACACACACACACACTTTTTGTCTAACACGCTAACACAGTTCTGGACTGTTATGCTGTTATGTTCAGTCATTGTTCTTATGTTGAACATGAATACATTTACTTTGTAAGTAATTATGGGACGTATTTCTTCTTTCATAGCCATTTTCCTTTATACTTTCTTGCCGTGAAATAGGTCTTAAATTCTATTCAAAGTGGTCTTAAAAAGGTCTTAAGTCTTAAATTTGAGTTGGCGAAACCTGCAGGAACCCTAAAGACTGTAATACTGAGTGTTAACATAATTATTATTCTCCAGTTTATGCATTTTAGTAACATGCAATTAATGGCAGAAGTTTAATTGTCACATGACAGTTTAAATGGGTCATATGCTACTTTTGAGTTTCAGTAAACTGAAGAGTAGTATTTAATAAAGGTGTAATACTGTTGAAAATATGTATTTAAAGTACAAGAGATGTTTGCTGAATTTGAAATTCAATTGAAATGTTTGTTTATCACAGAAAAGAGTAACTGACAGTGAATGTATGTTAGTGGAACTGTGTCAGGAAAGTGAACGGTTTATTAAGGAATGTAAATGAAAACTGAAATGCATATTAGAGAGAGTTAATATGTTTAAATTATTTTGTTGTGTAATAAAACAACCAGAGAAGCGATCTGGAAGGAAACATAACACACTGTGTCCTCATTGCTCCCGTTTCACCTGCTTAATACAGGTATCATCACTGCTCAGGAAGTGAAACTCAGACACTCGCTGCCACTGAGAGGTGAAATGGCGCAGAAAGGAGTTCAGCTGGACCGGGAAACCTTCTCTTGTTCGATCTGTCTGGATCTACTGAAGGATCCAGTGGCGACTCCCTGTGGACACAGCTACTGCATGAAGTGTATTAAAAGCTTCTGGGATGGAGAGGATGAGAAGAAGATCCACAGCTGCCCTCAGTGTAGGCAGAGCTTCACACCGAGGCCTGTCCTGCTGAAAAACACCATGTTAGCAGCTTTAGTGGAGGAGCTGAAGAAGACTGGACTCCAAGCTGCTCCTGCTGATCACTGCTATGCTGGAGCTGAAGATGTGGCCTGTGATGTCTGCACTGGGAGAAAACTGAGAGCCTGTAAGTCCTGTCTCGTGTGTCTGGCCTCTTATTGTGACAAACACCTCCAGCCTCATTATGACGTAGCTCCATTAAAAAAACACAAGCTGGTGGAGCCCTCCAAGAAGCTCCAGGAGAACATCTGCTCTCGTCACGACGAGGTGATGAAGATGTTCTGCCGCACTGATCAGCAGTGTTTCTGTTATCTCTGCTCTGTGGACGAACACAAAGGCCACGACACAGAATCCAGGACAGAAAGAAGGAGGTGAAGCTGCTTCAGCAGGAGGTGGAGGCCGTCAATGGCTCTGCTGATAAAGCAGTGGAGGACAGTGAGAAGATGTTCACTGAGCTGATCCGTCTCATGGAGAAAAGAAGCTCTGATGTGAAGCAGCAGGTCAGATCCCAGCAGAAGAGTGAAGTGAGTCGAGTCAAAGAGCTCCAGGAGAAGCTGGAGCAGGAGATGGCTCAGCTGAAGAGGAGAGACGCTGAGCTGAAGCTACTCTCTCACACAGAGGATCACAACCAGTTTCTGCACAGCTACCCCTCACTGTCAGCCCTCAGTGAACCTACACACTCATCCAGCATTAACATCCGTCCTCTGATCTACTTTGAGGACGTGACGGCGGCCCTGTCAGCAGTCAGAGACAAACTACAGGACGTCCTGAGAGAGGAATGGACAAACGTCTCACCGACTGAAGTGGATGTTTTATTGTCAGCAGCAGAGCCCACCACCAGAGCTGGGTTCTTAAAATATTCACAGGAAATCACTCTGGATCCAAACACAGCACACACACAGCTTGTATTATCTGAGGGGAGCAGAAAAGCAACAGCCATGGAACAACATCAGTCTTATTCTAGTCACCCAGACAGATTCACTTATTATCATCAGGTCCTGAGTAGAGAGAGTCTGACTGGACGTTGTTACTGGGAGGTGGAGCGGAGAGGGGGGACAGTTTCTGGAGCAGTCGCATACAAGAATATCATCAGAGCAGGGGGTGAATGTGGATTTGGATACAATGACAAATCTTGGTCCTTAGATTGTTTCCAAAACAGATATACATTTAGTTACAACAGTATCATCACTCCCGTCTCAGGTCCTCAGTCCTCCAGAGTAGGAGTGTACCTGGATCACAGAGCAGGTATTCTGTCCTTCGACAGCATCTCTGAAACCATGACTCTCCTCCACAGAGTCCAGACCACATTCACTCAGCCGCTACATGCTGGATTTTGGCCTGATGGTTATGGATCCACAGCTGAGTTTTGTAAACTGAAATAGCCTGAAGTCATTTGAGGAACTCTTCTACTTCTTAAACTCATTGTGTGTCCATCATTGTTGCTGAGAGCTGATTGTTCATGTCTTCACTGCACAGAGATCAGCTGTCAATCAAACATTATGGGATGTGCTTTAACATCTTCTCATGAGTTGTTCTGTAGATGTTGGAGTTTCTTTAGGTGGCGCTCCTTCCTGTGTCTGTTTAGCCATGGAGGCTGTCACTGCTCAGGAGGATTGCTGTTAACCTCAACTCATATTTCTCTGCATGGAAATGTAAACTTTGCTCTAAATATTTGTTGAATATTTCT